CCGGAAGATTATAAAGCAACTATGAAGGATTTATAAAGACTTTATCAAAGCTAAAAAAATAAATAAAAATATTAAATATTAAAATGTGCATTATAATCATTCAAATTGTTAAGTAATTGCTGCTGGTAAATGTTAAATAAAAAAAAAATAGTAAACACATTTAACTGATTAGTCATAACAGCCCAAAAACTACTGCTGTTTTTGGCCCTCCAGTATGTTTATTAATGAGAAAGTGTCATGTTGTATTACATTCTGTCAGATTATCATGATATAGATTTCCGACCAGGTCTCTATGGCCTGACACGCGTATCATCTGAGGACACCCGTAGCTTTGATTTATTATACGACCTCTGAGCATGTGAAGAAGTGATTGGTCATGGTATGTGTCATGGACCAATAGCAGGTCATCGTATTGCTTTCACATGTGCTAGTAATTTTAGCATGTGTAACAGATGCTCAGGAACTGCTCTGCTAGTACTTGACCTGTTTAGGCCTCACTGCTTCTCTTAGGGAGCGTATCCTGAAGTTTCTTTTGTCCTTTGTGAAAAGAGTGAAGGGGCAATCTCAGGTCAGCACATAAAACATCTCAGTGCACCCCAAACTCACAGACACACATACAATGACAACCCATAAAGTCTTAGACACTGAAAGATAACACCTATTTTCAAGTGTTGACTGCTTTTCTTGTCCACAACTTGCCTAGAATTATTGCTGGCGAAAACAGAAGTGTGTCGCAATTTTATATTGATGATTTCTCACTCGTTTAAACAGGTGGAATAATTGTGTGCAAAGTTCAGATTCTAAACTTTTAATCTGTACCGCATAGACCTCTCAAGTAGTCGGCATCATGCCTGTATTAGAAACTTCATCTCTGAGTTGTTTTTTACTAAATTAATTAAATTTTTGAAAATCGCCTTGCAGTAATCAAACATGCTCTAAACAAGACGCATTACCTGTGTACATTTTTGCGTCACTGGTTCCTCTGACTTTGTTAAAGAGTCAAAATATGAATAATGCTACATAACAATGCTACAAGCAAGCTCACCCCTGCACACTGAAGTAATGTAGGTCTACTGTTAAACTTAAACACTGTTACATTCCAACATCAGCTACTTAAACTATAGCCTAAAGCGTCTTAACTAACGTAACTACTGCCAAAGCAACTAAACAAACACGTTTGACAAAGCTGGCTGGTTTGTATGGGGTAGTTTGGTGAGCCTCCAAGGCTTATGATGTCAGTTCAGTGCACTTCAGTGTTAGTTTGCATGTAGGAAAAATCATAATTTGGCTCCTTAATGACCTTGTAATTCAGAGGATCCAGCAACATTCAGTTATCTTCAAAACCACTATTAATTTTTCCTATAGAGAAAACCAGCTTAGATCCAGACCTCCTTATATGGGCATTATGCTGAATACAAAATGACAACATGACTTCAGAGGCCTATTTGTGTTAATTTGTCGGAGAGGAGATAATTTATTATGATTTGAATTTGTTGGAAAAAATGTTATTGTTGTGTCCAGTCATGTTTTGCCAAAAGAAAAAAAAATGAACATTTTTGCCAGGTTTTATTTTTGTTTTGTCATTTTTAAAAAATGGAAAAAAGCAGGACATGCAGATTCAAAGCCTGTCAGTAAGGAATGCAAATCAGATTTTAATGCGTTATGTAATTATGTAACTGTTTCAATAGTAATAGAAAAATCGTAGTAATAAAAAAAGGTTTACCACCTACTAGATTAAAAAAAAAAACAGTCCTAGAAGTCGTGGCTATCAAAATCTGTTGCCATTGGCTCGAAACTATCTCTCTGACTGATCTCTGTCCGCACAGTAAAATTCCACAGTGGCTGTGGGGTGAAGTCAGTGAGATGGTAAAGACAGGATGTAGTCACAATGCAAACAGTAGCAGTATTATTGGCTGCTCTCTCTATGAGCCTCTCTGTTAAAGCCCAGCTGTGTGGGTGGGGGAGGGTACTATATATCACAGATAGCACCAGGCTACTGGTAGTACTTGTACTTGCACACTGCTAGTTCAAATATGTCCATTGACCCTTAGTCAAGAGTTATCACTCTCATTTTGCTGCACATTGATGTTCATTACACACTTAAATATAAAGGCGCTGCAAATGTGCAGTGACATAGATGAATCCATTTAGATTTGTTAGAGAGGTTTTTTAGAGAATCATTTTTGTAAATGAGATAAATATCTTTTTTCAAAGTTTAAAGGACCGCCACGTGTTGGAAAGACTGTTAAAAAAACATTTAAATTAGTGTAAATTAGCTTTGCCTCAAGTGAAGGTTGTTTAAACCTTTAAATGGTCTCTTACATTAACAGGCGTCTTTTTCAACCAGGGAGCCAACAGTGGTTCTTCTATGGCATCGCTCAAATAACAGTTTGTGATTCCTTTTTTTAAAGTGTGCATAATTATTTTAATGCAACTACACTATATGGCCAAAAGTATGTGGACACCTGACCATCAAACCAATATGAGCTTGTTGGATAACACATTAAAAACCATGGTCATTAATATGGAGTTGCCAATCCCCTTTATGACTATAACAGCCTCCACTATTCATTCTTCTAGTAAGGGTTTCCATAAGATTTTGGAGAGTGTCTGTGGGACTTTATGCCCAATCAGTCACAAGAGCATTTGTAAGGTCAGGCACTGATGTTGGTCGAGAAGGCCTGGCTCACGATCAGTGTTCCAGTTTATCCCAAAGGTGTTGAGTGGGGTTGAGGTCAGGGCTCTGTGCAGCCCACTGGAGTTTCTCAATACCAAACGGACCTCAATTTGTGCACAAGGGCACAGTCATGGTGGAGCAGGAAAAGGCCTTCCCCGAACTGATGCCATAAAGTTGGAGGAATATAATTGCATAAAATGTGTTTGTATGCTGTAGCATTAACATTAAGGGGCTGAGCCAAAACCCTGAACAGCCCCAGATCATTATCCCTCCTCCACCAAACTGTTGTATTGGAATTTACTTGTGGCAAAGGTGGTATTATAGGTGGTATATACAATATGAGCTCTTCTACTGCCAAAGTTAGCTAATAGACATTGCATGGTTATGTGCTTGATTTTATACACCTGTTAGCAGTGGATTTGACTGAAACACCTGACCTGAGTAATTATGAGGGCATAATTGTGTAACTGTTTACATAATTGGTTATGTAATAAATTCGTTTTGTATTAGAATTACATTCTTTGTGAACTGGTTTCGATCCACACTTGTTTGTTTTGATGTCAAGCAATGGCAAAAATGTAAAGTATGTTTTTCTTTCCACGTAACAAGACTGTACGCACAACAATAACTTCAAATCATAATAAACTCTCTCGTCTTCTACTCACAAGTGCAAATGTGGCATGGACTGAAAATTCGGATCTGCGGTTTCTCTGCTTGTTTAAACGAACTAGGTGCCAGAAACAGTTAAACCCTAAAATCCCAGGCTTATTACATACTAAGGCTTATTATTCAGTAACTACAGGGACTTGCAAAACTGTCTGACCTATTCTTAGGTTATAGAAGTGTGTAATAAAACTTTGGGCCCACTGGTGGGCCCTGGCCATTTAAGGGATTGAAAGTGTACACACCATGGGGGTCCTAAGAGCGTTTATATATGGATTCTCCATGTGTTTTGCTTTCATATATTTTGCATGTGCAAATGTTTTAGTTTGTAGAAAAGTCTGTGCATGGTTTTTGTGCTCCTGGCTGTTTTGCTTGGCTTCAGCTGTACTGTATTTTGCATCCCATTTGGGTCCTTATGTCACGGCTGAGCTCTCCCAGCAGCTTGAGAGCTGAAGCGTTATGCCTTTGCTTTGTGTATCTTGACCTGGCTTGTCAAGACAGCAGTGACAAACAGTGCATTTCTCCTTTTAAAGGCAAAGTGTAGCTAGAGGACAGGCGCTTTGGCTGGGCCTGGTTCCCAGTCTGACAAAAACAAATTGCCTTAGTGCTGTTAGAGTCCTAGAACCCTTCAAGCAGTTCTAGAACTTTCAGTGCATTCTAGGTTTTAATCTTTTCAGGTTCTGGAATTCTCAGGCAGGTATAGTCCTGGCTGTTGTTATAGTTTTGCTGGACTTAATAGTCAAAGTCGATCCGTAGAGCTGGGCAATATAACAGTATTTATTGTTATTATGATAAATTACATTACATACGTCAATATTGTATGTTTCTTTGCAAAGAGCATAAGTAGCCAAGTTAAATTGGATTTGAACAGTGTAGTGTATGAAACGTTGAATCATTGTATTTATAGTTTTTATAGTACTTGTCGAATGTGACTCTACTGGTTCATTTGGCTGTTACTCATCAACTGATAGAAAAAATAAATATTGTGACATATCATGTATCATGAACATTTATCAAAGTATCGTTATATTATATTTTTGCAGTATTGCCTACCTCTACATATCCATTTTAAATCCAGAAATGCAAGAATTCCTTTAAGCTTAATGAGACGTTTTAGAATTTGTAAATTATTAAATTATTCTTTTGAGACAGTTGCAGTGTTTGTTTAGAGCTCATTGAAGTTCATTCAGTATTTTTATAGTACAGAACAAATTACTTCAGTACTACAAAGTATCATTCAACATCTAAGTAGTTGGTCTTATCAGCATTAGTTACCCAATCAACAAGCTTGTTCCAAAGCGTAGGTTGTGGATTGTCTTAATTGCATTCTGTATGCATGTTGTTAACATCAGAGCTTTCTATTTGTAATAGAAAAGAAGGTATTGAAAACAGTATTGTTCAGGAATTTGTACTGAAATCATAGTATCAGTGACAGGATTTGCCACCACATTACTTTTCTCAGTCTAACCTAACTATGTTATTTTGTGCTACAGTTTCTTATTAGATTAAATTAAATTTTTGTCCAAACTCACAACAGTAGCTACAAAAGAACACATTTGTGGGCGGGGCATAAATCAATCCATAAAACATGTTGTGTCCTGTTATGAACGCCTGTGTCATGCTTATGAACTAAAATAGCTCACTTCTTTCCCATTGTCAGGCCCATCTCCGTGCCATCGACGTCAAGCTGATGCAGCAGCTCCTGTCCATCAACGAGGGCATCGAGTCCATCCGCTGGGTGATGGAGGAGCGAGGGGGCGTGGCCAGCCGAGAGAGCAGCTTGAATGGCAGCTTGTACAGTCTAACGGACAGTCAGGACGCATCTCTGCGTGGTAGCCTCAATAGCCTCCACGACAGGACTGACGAACTGGACGGGATTTCAGTGGGCAGTTACCTGGACACTCTAGGGGAGGACCTAGCTGATCACCCATCGCCCACTGACCTATCAGGCAGCTTCAGCGATAAAGCCATCATTGAGGACGACACATTTACGAAATCCCCACTTCGGCCCAGAGTGGACTCGGATGAATACTACTGTTTCGGATAACGTTTTGTAGCATCTGCAGTGAATGATGGGGCATTTTCAGTTTGAACCTAGCCACTGTAATGAAAGAACACAGGACAAAGGAAGACATAACGGTTCCCTAAGGGGAACAGCAGGTAGTCCAGACTAGCCATTAGCCATTAGCATCTGCTGCTGCTGATGTGGTAATGTCACTGTGATTCTGTTAGCGCTCACCAGCTTTAGACTGGCTGACCTAAAACCTCTCAGCCAAAGTTGTGTTAATCAAAGCTCCAGCTACACTCACCCTCAATATGTTCTTGCCTTGCCACAACAGTAGGTGCTACATCACAGTTCCTGCTAAAACAGAACATTTGGACATGCACATTTTTAGGGAAGAAGATCTTATGTGTTGTGCACTCTTTTAAAAACCATTGTAAAACCTTTATGTCTCATTTTTTCCCTTAATAATAATAGATTTGTCTTATTAAAAGCCCTGCAACTCCTTCTAATGACAAGCAAATGTACTAGGTCATTGTCTATGGCATCTAAGAGATTACAAAAGATCTATCTTGGTGGACCAAGGGGTCCAAATAGATGTTCCTACAGCAAAAATAGAATTTCACTGACCATGAACTGCAGCTAAAGCTTAAAAATGTGATCTTTAATATAATAGGTACTGATTATGTTAATGGAAACTGAACATAGATCTTCATACACGCTTCACAAATTGCTGTGTAGTGTTAAAGGGGACACTTTAGACAAAATGATCAATTTAAACATCACTATCTTTTGTAAACATCTCTAATATTTATAATATTATAGCATAATATTTAGCATAGTATAAGTGCTATATTGTAGGGAGAGAAAACAGGCAAAACAAAAACGTATATAAAATAATGTTAAATTATAAATTCTGTCAAATCGATGAGGCTGAGGGATATGAAGCCCTGCTACAGAATACTGAATAAAACAACAAGTGACATAGTAAGACCTAGTTTTAGGCCAGAATGTCTCTTTAACATGTGTATAATGTCTGTATTATGTGTGGAATACAAAGGGATATATGCTCATGTCACTGCACTTCATGGTCAGTGAAGCTCTGAAAAGCTGTGGATTTAAAGTGCAATTTGTGCTTATGCCAAAGTTGATCAGTTTCTTAATATCGTAAAGTTTTTCTGCTTAAAAAAGGCAGAATTTCTGTTTTGCCACTTTCAAGAGAATGACACACTGTTTGTGGTTTTCCTCTTAAAGGGAGTAACACTGTTTAAAAAAAAAGAAACTTGAGACTTTTGTCCACTTTTTGACATTCTGATTTTTTTTACTGTGTATTTTATCTAAAACCCACTAAAGGCATTACAGCAGTCTTGTGGTTAGGTTTTTCCAGTGAATCTGGACTTGTGTGAGCGTGTTGTGTGTAATTCAATATGTTCCTATTGTACTGCGTGCTATCCAGCTTGGTTGTTCCTAATTTATTACTGTATTGTTTATAAACTGTATTTTTTGGTGGAAATGTCTTAATATATTGTGTTTTCAAAACTCCTAAGTCCTTTCATTGAAACAACAGTGTGTAATAGTGGATGGTGCAAGTTCTTTGTCAAATAAAGCTGAGATCTTTTGTTTTGTTCTAACATATGTTTACAGGTTTGTTTTAACTTATGTAAACATATGTTTACAGGAAAAAAACAAATGTACACAAGCCCCCCCCCCACACACACACACACACCGAAAGTAGTTGATCAGTTAAGATATGTTTGAGGTCTGAGGTTTGCTAATTTAGTGTTAGCACTGGAGCTACAAGGCTAATGTAGCCACCAAGTATTTGAAGCACTGCATTGCTTAACAACTTGATGGGGTAATCTTCCATTCGAATGGCCCAAAGAGTATTTGGACACTTTAGCCATTTAACCATTGGTAAAATTTTAGATTTTGTTATTTTTTTAGGTAATTTTGTAAAATATTAAACAAATTGATATTTGTTTGAGGTAAAAACATTTTTAACAGCAAGCAGACAGTAGATGGTATTTGTAGAGATACCACTCAGTTTGACATTTTGTTTCCTAACACAAATAACCTTTTTAAGTGTGGCACACATGTCCATGTACTATTTGGGGCCACTCTAATTGTCAGCTACATTAGCCTATAACTATTCCTTTAACTGCTGAATTGACCCAGACATTTTGAAGGGAAAACACTAAGTTGTACAGGCCTGGTGGGTCTGGTCAAATCACTGAACCATATGCCTCCTCTCTTTAGAGTTAAGAGTTAGAGCTTTGAGGATCATTTAAACAGGCAGTGGAAAGTATTTCACTATTCATGCATCTTGAACTCAGCTTCAGTACTGCAAACCATTAGCATGCTCTGGTGGAAGTTAGTGCCATTGTGGTTGCTATTAAATTAATTACTCTACCCATTATTGCACAAACAAATAACTGTGCTGGGATGATTTTGAGCGATAGGGCAGCTTTTAGAAACTCTTTGGTTCCTTTTTTTGCAATTCTCCAAGGGTCTGATTTTATAGCTTCCTTCAGAAGCTTTTGCCGGAAATAGTGTAAATGCAGTGGTGTGAATTAGAAGGTCAGAGTTAGTAATGGTGCGAAGCAGCAGTGATGAACACAGCACATGGTCAGACAGGACAGGAATGTTTGTTATCCGCATTTTAATTTCCACATTAATTCAGCTTGCTGGTCTCCTGCTACGACAGGCCTGTTTGTGTACTCAGCATATAATTGAGTCTGCAGGCAAACAGTTGAGAGACAAGAGAGAGTCTACTGTTATCTCTCCTCCCCTCTCTCTCTCTCTCTCTCTCTCTCTCTCTGTCATAAAGAGTACTTTGGGATGGTGCCTGACAGACATCACTGTTGTTTGCCATTATGCTTTGGCTATGTTGCATTGTAACATATCAAAACCTCGACTTCCTTTTATGGGAATTTTTTTTACCAACACCAGCTGCCCTTTACATTGTGTAAACATTTTATGATGAAGGGTCAATAAAAATCTTTCAAAAATAAAATCTTGTTATATTAACATAGCCCCTTAAAATCTCCTAAGGCTTATTATTCAGCAGTGAACCATGTCTGTTAGAGCTAGGCCTTCTGTTTGGGCCATAAATGTCAAAACCAAGAAAAACACCTCTACAAAAATGCTAATTTCTGCTAGCGCCCCATGGGATTCTAGTAGTATGGTAGCGCTAAGCTAACAGTGAAGCTTAGAAAGATATTCTATGTTTTAATTGGAACTTAAACAAAAACAACAATAATAACAATGAACTCTGTGGAACAGTTTTCATTTTCACCCTCAAAAGCCGACAGCAGTGAGTAGATTTTCATTCACTGGAGCTGGTGGTTGTGGGAAATGTCTACAGTGGCACTACCAACCATAACTATGAGGCATGTCCCCCAACGAGTGTGCGTGTTTATTTGCCAACTAGTTTCTTGTTAGCAAGCTGTTTCAACATCTCCAGCTAACATGGCTAATATATATTTTTAGTTATGGCTATTTTCACATGTACATCATTTTATAATTCTATAGACTCTAGCTGATGTTATTGTACTCTGATAGCTGTGAAGGAATTCTTCAATGAAGAATTTATATATTTTTTGTTCAGCTTGGACTTCCAACCATTGAGGACATATCTGGGAATTTTAATCTTGCCAACTTTGACAACGACGGGAGACGTACTTTTCTGTCTTTATTTCTGTTTCTTGTGAAAAGTGCCTATTAGTGGTCAGTGATGTATGTAGAACCAGAAGACCTAGAGTGCTGTTGGTCCCCTCTAGTGACGTTTTCCTTCACAAAATTGGTTCACTTCCTAATTATTTTGGTCCAGAATTGCATAATTTTCCATCAGGCATTTTAAGATTTTAACTATTTTGTTTCCAACCAAACCTTAGTAATGAAATAAAAACAGTACTGCAGTAATTGCAGTTTTTATATTTTATGATTTTACCAAATAAAATGAACTAAAAAGTACAGACATGTATTTTTTAAGTTCACAGAAATCTTTAGGCCTTATTTGAAGGCCTAGAAGGCCCTGAGGGTTTCTCTTTGTTATTCAGTAAGTAGGTGGACTACAATGCAAACCGGTTATTTTTAGTGACAGTATCTGTAAATTCTATACATTTAAGGATAAAAAAGGTAAGAACAGTTTTTCCTTCTCATATAAAGTTATCTTTTGAGAGATGTGAGAGATGTTATTCTTGTCAGATTTGGCCCAGATGTATGTAACATTGGCTTTTAATGAAGTTCTAAACACAAATACAGTTGCTAGTCTAAAAGGATTAACACATACAGAATACATATGGCTTTACAGCAACAACAGGTCATTATAGATCTGAATTAAAGTGTAAATCTAAATGACACTCATTGCACTCTAAATTGCTCTCCAGTGAGCAGCTAAAACATGTCTGGTCTCTTAGTTTGCTTTCTTGGTTTTATGCTGGCGCTACAAGGCTAATGTAGCGAATGTAATACTTGATGCTTGGCTTGGAGTGTAGGTAGCGTTGGCATGGATGAACTAAACTCAACCACACAAACGAGTTCTTTCTTAATACTTTTATATTGTCTGGATGCAGTCGCAACCACAGCCCTCACCACACTCGTCTTCTCCTTCCTCTTTTTTTTCTTTCTTTTTTCCTTCCTCCAGTGTCATAACAGTGTCACTGTCTAACAGGGGAGAGCAATCAAACATCAGCTCTCTACCACATATGAATATGAGGTTCTGCACTGAATTAAGTTTCAACTTATAAAACAACAAATGACTATCAGTTTCATTTTTACACTAACAACTGACGTGGTGCGAACAGGATGTAAACTAAACTGTGTGTAAGAGAGATTGTTTAGCTGTTAAAGTAAAATATGATTTCTGATTCTGTATGAAATAATTAATATGACTAGCAGAGGAATATGTCACAGTAAAGAAAATCAAAACCGCTGTTGCTCAACATTTTCACATTAGAAATGTTTTATAGGGGTGTCAGTGAATACAGTTTGGAAGCTGTGAATATGAGGGTCTCTTAGAAGTTTTTTATGTATTATGAATATCAAATATACTTGCCTATGTGGTTTCTAACACTGTATGACTTACTATTAGGTATAAAATGAATAAAAGTATATCACATAGCTTAAAACAGTAGTGGCAGTGGTCTTGAAGCCTAAATGTTTTGCTAGGGAAGTAAACATCAGATACCAAGCATGTCTAGGCAGATCAGCTGCATTTGGGCTAAGAAGAAAAGTGTGAATGGACATGGAAACTTTAACGCTGATGGTTTTACAGTGAATGGACTGTAAATAAGGGATAGTTAACAAGACATGCCAAAGCTGAAAAGGTCTGAAGTGGTTGAAGAATCGTTAATGGTGAACCCCTCCTCATCACTCCTTTGTAGTTTAAGCGCACTAATCTTCATCAGACAGGATTCAGTCTGTTATTGAGCACGTCTAGCCAATGCTGTTACCTGCAAATTAAAGACAGGCCAATCTACTTCCTAATGGTCATTTAACACAGTTTTCAACACAAAGCTGGGAAAACACACTGACATTAGAGCAATTATCATCAGCTCCAACCCTCAAGCTTAATCTAATTACCATTCAAATCACATGAGGGTAATGCTATTTGTTTAAACACCACCTAAGTACATAACTAAGGGCAATATTTGTGCACATTTAAATTGGAACGGCTCAGTATCTGCTTAGCATGTGATAAAGGCCGAAAATAAGAATAAAGTCATGCCTGCATGCTAAATCAGGCATGCAGAGAAATTACAGTGTTGCAGCTGCTTTTTGGTGCTAACTTCTTTACAGAAAGAAACATTTCGCCTTCTTCGACTACGCTGTTGTAACATTAGCATTAAGAACAGGTTTGTCGAGTCGGATAAAAGGCCTGTCTGGGTTTTAATTCCACTGAAAGCTGCTTGTTCACTCACCACGGTGGATTTCTGGTGGTTTTTTGGCATGGTTTAGCAGCTAACACCTCATAAACCCCCCTTTTTAGATGCTGTGGTCACTGTTAGCTTGTTTTCCACCCTTTCAGACTGATTTTGCGCTGCAGTGCCATTACGTTTTTCATAAGGAGTGTTAAGAATCATTAAAAGTGCACTAGCTGAACTCTGTTTGCTGACTTTGCTGTGCACTTGTTGCTAGCCCAAACACGTACATGTCAATACAAGGGCATGCTCATAGTTTTGATTGTGTGCAGCTTTGTCTTTATTTAACCGCCCATCTGTTATGTATACAAAGCACACTGGGAAGTCTGAGCTGTTAGAAACCTGTGGTTAGGAGACTTTTCTTACCCAATTTCTTTATATCTGGTGAACCATTACTACAACACTATAATATACTATGAGGAAGTTCTATTTGCTCTGTCTAATACTGTATAATATACTTAATATTTTCACCTTTGTATAATATTCCTGTAGTACTGAATCTGCAATTGTATAGTATTGTGTAGTATACTTCAGAAAAAAACAGATATCTGAGATATATTTCTACAATTGGCTCAATAAATATGTTGCATAACTATATGTCTAAATGTGCATCACAGAAATATATTCACAAATATGCTTATGTATGTTATAATCCATAATGTAAATATTGATATATGTCAAAATATAAATGTATTTTACAAAACATACAT